CCATCGTCTTCTTTCGGTTCGTCCTCTTCATCACCATCCTTTGGCTCACCATCGTCTTCTGTCGGTTCGTCCTCTTCATCGCCATCTTTTGGCTCTCCGTAGTCTTCTACCGGTTCGGTTCGCACTTGGTGCTGGTCGCCTTCTCCTCCTTCATCATAGTACTCATCTGGATAATACTCATATTCTTCGTACGGATAGTAGTAATCTTGTGAATAATCATAATCATAGCTATAATCGGGATAGTAATCATTGTCCTGTATCACCTCATTTGAGAGTTCTTCTCTCGCCTCGGGTATTCCAATGAGACCAAAGATCTAAAATAGGATTTTATCTATATGTTCATAAAAGTGAGGCTTACTTACGAAACTGACTAGTAATAGTGGTTTCATTGGGGAACTGCTCATATGGGCCGCTTTTATCGAGGAACAGATGAATGAAATCCAGTGCTCACACTGCTATCCCTCTCAACAATCTGTTTCGGCAATGGGAGCACTCAAATTATAAATCAATCCTAGTATGAGCAGAGATCCTTTGTTGTAAGTCATTAATACGAATCGTCATTAATCAAAATTATCCCGGGTAGTACTTTCCTCACACTTTGCAAACCAATTAGTTTTGATTTGATTGGTTCCACTAGCACAGTTTCCAATATCTCTACCGATTGAACTTGTGAGGTAAAAAAAGTAGGTATGATTGCATGCTTCGCCAAGTTGAAGTAAAAAGCTTGGAAGTAAAAAAAGGAAGCAAAAACATCAATACATCCGCATGTTGACTACACTGAGTACCTTGTTACTAAGGCAGTTTTCACAGATATCGCATTTTTCGCCGCATCAGAAGATCCGCCTGTTTCGGAGGCCTCAGACTAATAAATAAATCGCAGACAATTCTCTACGGATGATATACGTGTAGCCCTTTTCCAAGACCTTTTGAACTCTGATAATCTGATAGTACGCATGAGGCTACAAGCTCAAATTCTTCGGAGAACCTGCGTTATCATGGCAACTTTCTCGCAAAGATGTACTTATTGTACTAAGGAAATATTCATTGCTAACCTCTTCACTATCTGTCCAAGGCAGGGCCCAGCAAGAGGATGGAAAATGGACAGCAGTGAAGCGACTTCGCCTTTGCCACTATCGATTTTTATGATTCCCCACTTGGTCCCGCCAGATGTGTAAGTTGTTTGATGGGAGCACGCTTTCTTCCTCGAACTAACCGGCGTCGTCTGTTACGGATCCTAACAAAAAGGAGTGGAGGCACCATA